TTAGAAGGCGGGTCGTACGGACCCGACCAAATCCCAGCCAATAATGTGCCCTGATATTTGCTGCGCCGCCAACTAGGGAGGGCAGAAATCAACTACAAGGAAGTTCCCAGGTCAAATACGACCGCTCTTCCCTCCAGCCACAAAATACGATCCGCGCTGGAAATTCCCCAGCGTACGACGTGCCCTGCTCCCCACTAGCCCGACGGCTCCATTGGTGAATTTTGTCAATAGCAGAGGGTTTTCCATGCCTTTCGCGGTGTTCATTCGTTTCACCTGTACATACAATAGTGGACCTTTCACCATGCACTATCGATTTCCCACTTACTGCCGTCAGCGGCAATAATCGGTCGCCGTTCACCTGGTAGAATAGACTGGTTGAATAGAGCGGTTGGTCCCAACCGGCTCGTTCTGTCCGCTTCGCGGCATAATGCTTCTATGACAACGGGTAATCACCCATCTGCCCTTTGCCCTGGTTATTATTAATGCGCTCATCGATCAAATCTTGCTCAAAAACTTGTTCTGGGAACCGATTTCCACCTCTCCTTGTACGTGTCAGTCACTATTTTGTCATACTTGACGTTGTCCCATTTTTCTCAGTCTCAGTCCCAGCGCTAAAAATGCGTTCCCGGAGCCAGGCGATAGTTCCTAAATGGTGTTTTTGTTCTGCTATTGTGCCTACCAAGAGCTTGTCAGCCGTGCGACTCTATACCAACAAGTTTCCCTGGAGAAGATCGATCAAGACTTCGCAACAGACGGTGTTTTCTTTCTTCGAGATGATAATGTTGATCGACAATGTTCGCTGCATTGCTCCATTTCCCCAGTTCTCAGCCCTGGATTGTAAGTCGCTTTGCCAAGAAATCCTACGTCCTCTGTTGAACGACTCCTTAACCAGGGCAGGTTCTCCCGTTGGGAAAGAGTTTTGCAAATTACGCCCCCCCATCCGTCCTACCTACCGTGTCCGTAAATACTTTCTATTCACTTTTTTGTGCTCACTTCTTTCAAATTTCCCCCCAGTTTCGCAGGGAATATCCTCGATTGTCGTCTAAGCAAGAGGGAGGTGGGGGGTGAAGTGGCCATGAAGGCGCACTGAAGTGCGCCTGCTCCCTGTACTGGGACCTATGGCCTATTGAAATTACATGTTTGTTTCTAAATGCAGTTCACTAGCCCTATAGTAATATAAATTATATTTGGTTGGAAACTGTTGGCTTACTCATTTTACACACTTCTGGTTAGTAGCGACTTTCCGATAAGGTTTCCCTTTATCATTAGTTCTTCGCTCTCCTAGCGTAAAAGGCTAAGGCGAAGCAATCGCACAAGCCGTTAATATTTGCGAAGTACTTTTTTATCGAGAGTGTTGATGGTAATTGGAGGAAAGGTGTGTGAGAGAGATGGCACTACTTCATTGATAGTTGGAATGTTTTTTTGGTGGATTGATTTTTCGAATTTTAATTTTTTGGCAGTATTAATAATGAAACAATCAGTTGAATCTCACATTCAATTTTGTTAGCCTCCCGCCAAGGACGACTCGATGACCGATCCAGCGGCACCGGCGACTCCGGCTATTCACGAGGAATTGCTCGAGATCGATGAAGATTTCTCAGAGCACTTTGATACCTGGGTGAGTGTGGCGATTAACTGCTCTTTCATGGAGGCCTCTTTGAATCGAGATTTATTTATTTTCCAGGGATCTCTCCGCCGCCTCATCACTGAGAGTCGAGCTCATTTACGTGTGGTCGAGAAGAGCATATCTAGCTGTGAAGTGGACGAAGCGCAGTTGGTCAGTGTGTAGTGATATCGGCTTCATTTTATGTTTTTCAAATCCGTGTTGGAGATTATGTAGGCGCTGCTCGCAACACGCACAGTTTGATAGGCCAAACCTAAGAACAATTCGTGCAGGGGCTGTCTAGGATTCCGCCTTTTCATGATTCTTTGATTGCATAGAGAACTTTCGCATGTCCAGACAAGAAGTAGAAACTGAATTGTGGCCCTCGAAAGTCATGATGTAGCACTATTTCCATTAAAGTGTACAAGTCAGAAGAGAAGCAGAATGCGTGGCGCATGCCAAAAATGGAATTATCATCGCGGAATGTTTCATCTTTTATATTTTCTTCAGATCTCAACTCCCTGAAACAATTCGGGAAGGGGGGGGAGTGTGGCAAAAAATGGTCCATATAAATCATTCAGTTTGGAGTGTTAGAGAAAACGGAACTTTTCCAAGATGCTTCAAAATATTCTTTCTGTAATGCTCTCGTCAAGAGAAGCTACGTGACATCTGGCATGCCATGATGTTTTTGCACCCATTTCTGGTGATAAAGCTTTCGCCAGGTGGTCTATCAGCAAACGCCCTTAAACCGCGTTATATACTTGCGACTTCTAGAAAAGTTAGAAATGCGGATTCAGGAGAATCAGCGACAAAGGAAGTTTATGTGTCGATTGGTCTTTGATTTCCAAGTTTCCGTTTCTCCACATGGGCGGAGTCAGTGCAGTCTTGTTTGCTGCGGATGATGGGGCGTGTCAGTGGGGCTGTGCGCGGCGAGCTGCCAGCCCGTTTTCTACCAGTTGTTGGAGCGTTATGGTGGAAAACGACTGATATGAACCATACGATACAGTCCTTCCGCTTGAAGAAAGAAAAAAGAAAAGAAACCGGCGTTGGCACTGCGCCAAAACATTCCCTCCTGACACGCCTCATAACCTGCAGCGAACAACACTACTTCTTTCTCGCCGGGCGCTGGTAGCCTCGCGGATATATAGAGGACTTGTTGTGCAGAACTGAAATTACCATTCTAAATATGAAGACTCTTGCCTAAGCTTAAACAGGGGAGGGGCTTCTGGGTAAGCGAACCAACTTAATGATTTTGTAATCGCGCTCGGATGACGGCAATCCTAGCTCTACGCATGCAATCCTTTGAGTGCTCCCTCAGAGGTTATCAACGTTCGGCGATTCCTCGATTTCCCTATTCCAGAAATTCTCGGATTCCCTAGTTCCGCAGGCTATGACGTTTGAGTTCTTTTTGTTTGCCCACCATTTATTTTGCGTTGACATCCACTCTTCGCAAAAGCGAACAAATATGAGAGGATGCCCCACAGTTTACGATTGTTCTTGGATCAGAGCACCTCAAGCGTCAGGAATCCCCAGCGAGGGGGTCGTATTGTTCGAAGGAGGGAGAGGGTCGTTCTAGTGGAGGAAGTTTTGAGGGGGGGGTCGTATTTTACAGTCTTTTCACCAGCGGGAGGACGTCCTGGGGCTATGTTTGTGACTTGGAGTAATAAATCGAGGGGCAGTTCGGCGACGTTTGGGGGGCATTTTGCACTTTTGCTACTTCCCATCGACGTGTCGACCCATCTAGACAGCCTCTTCTCGAGTTGACAGGTTTTACCATGATGGCTTGACGAGCTTGCTCCAGCTTCACAAGAGTTCACAGGTTTCACCAGAGTGAGAGTTGTAAAGCGGGCTCAAGCAACGAAAGTACAAAGTGCCCCCCCCGTCGCGGAACTGCGTCTAAATCGATTCTGAAAACATGCCACGATGAGGGAGGTATTTTGAAACCGCGTAGTGCAGAATCGATGTATTTGCACAGATCATCTGTCCGTATCCCCAGCTGGGTGCAACTCGTTTACTCGCATTGACTGCACCTTAACTATATCGTGAAAGCGTTCGCTCGCCATTGTAAGTGTAACAATGGTGCGTCCATGGGAAGTAGTACTGGTATCAGCGTGAGTATGAGCTGTAATTATAGCCATTATTCCCTATCCAAGCAAAAAACCAGGGCAAGAAAGGTGGCGCTTCTGGATGACGATTCAAGCGACAATTGTGCCTGCTTATTTTTCTTTAGGCAACCGGTGCCATCAAATGCAGCATTCAAATAAGCGATTGTCACTCACTTTCTGGTTTTCCAAGTTTTATCAATACGGTTCTCTTGCTTGACTCCCTTGTACGCGATAAAGAACGAACACATTCCAAGAGAAGATTCCCTTGGTGACTAAAGGAAGCCTGGTTTCTCCGTTCGTCGCAGAGCCTGCATTCTTTCAGCAAAACGAGGCTGCCAGAGGTCTAGTTCGCCGACGTGGCCCCACCCTGACATGAACACGATTGACGAATGTGGCGGTGTCTACATATCATCTCCGTCCTTCCTGCATCGTCTCTCCGTCGTCTCATCTTCCAGTTAAGAGCCCCCGCTCCCTCCTATGTATCCCTGCTCGTGCACGTTTGATCGCAAGATGGCAATGGACGGGATCTTATTGGCGGTGTTTTTCAACCGTTCCCATATGTATTTTATCCACAGCAGGGAAACTTAGACAATCTTCAGAAACATAGATGGCTTATTGAATGCGATGTGGCCTATACAATGTCTTGCGGACCAACAATGTACAAATCAGTGTTTTATCCTCCCAGACGAATCTGGTACCAATTTACCGTTCCCAGATAAGGATGGGAGCGCTTGGTTGACCTGGACGGTCAGGATCCATGAACACTGGACCTGCGTGGTGGTGAGCGCGCGGCACTTGATCATTTAATGAAGATACCGCTCCGTCTCAGAGGCCTGTTATGGGCATGCTATTATCTTCTTAACAGACAGATCTTATATTCGTTGTCTAATCTGCATGCTTCTTTTCAGGAAAGTATCCAAATGATTGCTCGTGCAAACTTGCGTCAATTGGATACCGTAATCCGAATGTCTGGTGGACGTAACGAGGATGTCGCCGGCTTGAGAGAACAATGGAAGCTGCTTTCCGAACAAGCTTCGTCTCCTATTCCGCAACTTCTCAATAAGGTTCGTCAACAATTTCTATTGAATAATAAGTTTCTTTCAAGAACTTTCTATGTTGTATTATCTTGTCAGCAAAAGTAGGTGAAAGCAAACTAGGGAAAGGTTCAGGTCCACGAAAACCCGAGTTCCCATTTACAGTGAAGTTATTGGGCAGGCTCTTATATCATGGTCCATGTCAGATTAAGCAGAACGCTTCAGTGAATGGAAGTGAACCGTGGATTTTGAGTGTTTTTGGGTTAAAAACAATTCCCCGGAGCCCTATGTGCTTTGGTTGTTCACATTTTTGACAATATTCCGGAATAGTCGCCGGAATTATTCAGGAGATATTTGGATAGCTTGCCAGCTAAATAAATGGAGTCCTTAACTCAAGAATAAGTCAATTTTCACGAGTCCTTCTCTTGGTAAGCCAGAAGTCGAGCCCAGTCTCGGCTCGACTTCTGGCTCACCAAAAAAGTACTTGTGAAAGGAAATAAACTTTACTCTAACCATAGGTTGTTATTACTATTTTACGATCCAATTTCAGGTGGAATGCTTCGCGAGTTCTTTGCGAGATTTGCATGAAACATCGTCGAATTCCTCCTTGGGTGCATTGACAGCTATCAAGTCGAAGGAAGATGTTCGACTCGCTCTGGAAGTGATGTCGCAAATTCAGACAAAGCTGAGCAAAGAGAGAGACGAATTAAGGTGAGACTTGATATTCAGACTTGGAAAATGAAATCCTTCAAATTTCGAGTAATCCCGTAGCTCCACCATTAGAATTGTATACACTTTCATTGTTTTCTACAGTATTGCGCTGTTCCGCAGCGATGACCATTATGTAAAACGACACGACAATGTACAAATTTTATTCAGCCGGAATATCCATTGTTATTTTAGTGCGCTATAGGTGCCTTAGAGGTTTGCCTCAAGTACTCCATTCAGTTGGTGTAAATGATGTGTTAAGTACTTAAGAAAGAAATCACTGCGGTTTTCGATCTCAGCTTTCGAAGACTGCATGACCGAAAATTCATGTGAAGGAAAGCGTCTTTCCATTTAGTCAAAAGATCACTTTGTAAAGCTATCTTTTCTGAGAAAAAAACCCATAAAGCTGCTTCAAAGGCAAACCCCGCGGTCTTGCATTTTGTGGATAGTAAAGCGTTCAAATTCGACTCTCCTAGAGAAGAAAAAGCCAAAATGTCATAATAAGAAGCCCTTGGCGCATCCACTGTAAGTCGTCGTGCCGCGTCGCTGCTCAGTTTACTAGTGTTTCTTAGCATCTCTCCAATACGGGTCGCAGCCAGGTTGAATAATTCCAGACGACCTCGTTGACGAGCTGGAAACTTCTTTTGATTGTAGCTTTCTGAACATCCATAATTTTTGGAATTGGAGTAAATGTATCTTAATGGACTTGCTCACTCACTGTCAGGGAAAGAAAAGGAACAGTGTGTTGAAGACTACAGGGGGGGCAAAAAAGTCTTCCGACGCGAGTCTACATATACAAGTTTCCGCTGCCCAGACAGAGGATGTGGATACGAGTACCAGGGCGGAAGATACCCAAGATGTTCCTCTACAAGCAGGAGCTGGCTCTCGCCCATCACCTTCATGTACACCAAATATGAAGTCATCTCCAATCGCAGCCTTACTGATACAGACCTTTGGAATTCGTGTCACCTCCAAAAACAGGTTGAAACTAGTTGGAGTCACCCTTGGACAGCTACCTGGAGACCGGCACCTGATCTGGAAGACCTCCAACATCGAGCAGCTCCGACAACGTCGCCACGGTCTAGGACATCATCTTCACCACAGTCGTCAAGGCGCGGGTTGATGGTATGGACCGGAGTACTGGAATGGAAAGACCAATATTTTCTTCTCGGGTGACACTCGGACTAGAAGTGACCGCCTGGCAGCTCACACTGAGCAACTCGTGATAGAATAAGTCTCCTCACATGTCGTCGCCCGTACCTTCTTGGAACTTTGTACTGCTACAGCATTGGTGCCACCACATGGAATCGAAGGGCGTTGGAGAAACTCTCGCCTACTTGGAATGGAAGGGGCTGAGTACCTAAAGAAGATGGAATATCCAAGTAGGTCACCTGACCTGAATCCCCTCAATTACCCGGTTCGGCGGAGTTCAATAGGGTGGTCTACGGTGGCGGAGAAATCGACTATCTCGCTGATCTCAGGCACCACATCGCGGTCGCGTGCCAGAATCTCGCGCTCGTCCAGAAGGCCTGGTGGTCGGACGTGTCGTGATAGTTTTAATTATGCTCTTCTCTTAACAGCGCTACGAAAAACATGTCAAGAAAAGTGACTTTTTTTTTTGGCCTTTTTTAGCTTTTGGTATATAGCCTGCACTGCAGCACCTCGTCAACCTTGTCCATTGGTACCATTATCGTGCCTCCGATGAAGACCTCCCATTAAGAACGAGCTGTTAATCGCGGCAGTTCATAGTACAAGAATAGCTGGTCTGTCGTTGTGTTGCGAGACGTAGTCTCTTTTTGATAGTGTGATAGCTCGATGTTGTAGCGATGCGCACAGCGTCGCTTGCACGGCCTTCACAAAGAGTCCTGACTTATTTGATCTGGAACTGCTTCTGTAAGTTTTTCAAGCCAATAAGCTAGTTTTTGCGCGTTGCCCCAAGCGTGGATTTCCTGCGTGAAACCAGTGAGCAATAGATCACGTTCATTATTGGTGATGAACTCGTCGACGTGGTTTTGCTAGCTGAAGGCTGTCTTCTAAATGGAGCTGCGATCACTACTCATTAATAGTGATAAATGGCCTGACGAAATTGGTGGAATGGAGTTCCTTCCCAATGATTTTTTTGCTTTCAGTTTCTCTTACTGCAGAATAATTCCCTATTTTGCTGTTGAGATGGTGGAACATAATGTACAAGTTGGAATTCCATCATCAGTAGCAGTGAATCGTTCTCATTTCACCGCCTTTTGTTTTGTTATCTGGTGTGGTTAGTACGCTAAGTACTATGCACGCAGGGCACTTCCTGTCTCTGGGAGAAGTTTTTGCGAAATATGACCCCCTCCTCCGATTTACTCTTCTGGCACGACCCCTACCCGACGAGAATCTCCTAGCAATGTGGATAGTCCGCATGATATAGAGCCGCGTCACGGTGTCAAGACCTAGACGGTCTATTTTGGTAATGGAACGGCTGTCACATGAGCTGATATGGCTGGTGCAAATGTTTGTTAACAATCTTTGTTTGTTTATTTTATTGCGCCTTCTCTCATATTACTTACGTAACAATATCGCAAGCTGACCTTCGTTCTTCTCAAGTCTAAAAATACCTTGCTTTCATTATTTATATGGCTTGACACATTTGTATACCCCATATCCCGGGGATGGGGAGGGTGTGGTTGCGTACCTCATTTGAATAACAGCGGCAACTGCGGCCTTGATAGGCTAATGCCTTTATGAGACAATTGTAATCGTCTTTGTTCAGCAGAAAACAGAATAACATTGACCTTAAATGAATCTCACGAAAAACGCAGCTTATACGTGTTCAAATGAAGTACGCAGCCACGCCCTCCGCAGCTCCGGGTTATAGAGTGTAGAAAAGCGAAAAGCGGTTTGTGGTGACCTGATTTGTCATTTCACTGATTCGAAAATATTATCCCAAGAAGGCTGACTCATGGGCTAAGAAGTTGACCCCAGCTAAGGCTGCAAACTCGAACTTAGACCTCACGCTTACCGGACTAGCAGGCTACCCAGTGCACCGTCAGGGCCGACTTCCATACTGTCATACCAATATTTTGTGGTAATCTTCAGCTGCATAAGTACTGCTCAGCGATAGTAATTCCAACAAAGTATGGTAAAAAAGCATCACAAGGTTAATGTGTTTGTGAGAAAGTTTCTGCGTATCCGTTTCTATGCTTACATTCTTTATTTGTCGCTCATTTACAGTGGGTTCGAATGCAACTGCTGTCACTGTTCGGCTTGGGGGGGGGGGGTAAAGGACACTTGGCACTTTCGCCGACTTCTTTCGTTAGTTCCTGTTAACATAGACGTCTCACCGCTCCACCTTAGTGGGACCTGTAGACTGTTGACAAATTCAAACAATGCTTATACTACTGCATAACTCAGCAGGAACTTACAAGTCTCCATAGAAAGCATCGGCAGTGATCGATGGTAAAAAATATGCAAAATGCCCCCACCAAGCCGAACGGCGCCTAATCGTTTTAATAATCGTTTGATACGCTTGAAAATTCAATTCAAGGGTTTCGTAGAATGCGTGAAACTGAGTTCGTGTAAACTCAGGCTGTTCTCGAGGTTACGTCCGCCGATAACATAGACCGCACTCGGGCTATGTGAGTTCGGATGGAGGAAAGCGTTCACAATTTCGCAGTCAACATCCAGGACTTGAGTGCCACAGGGTGTCCATAGGGCATTGGAACATTTTTCTGGAAGTCTTGGCGCATGAGCTGTAAGCGTGAAATCCAGGCTCGAGTTCCCAACTGAGTTATAAGCGTGAAATCCAGGCTCGAGTTCCCAACTGAGTTAAATTTAAAGAACGAAATACAGTATGCAAGTGTAAAATCTCTATATCCTGGCCCCTAAAAACACCTGAAGGCCTCGAGTGCCAAGCAGTATAAACAAAGTAAATTTCTTCTAACGTTCGCTGATTTCCGAATGCCCTGAAATACGCCGAATCTGATTAAAGAATTTATGAGTACGAAATTATGTGGGAGGTGTAGATTTGGCGCTATCCGATGGCCTTAATATTCGCCAAATCTGATCAACAGCTGAAGAAATTGCAGATGCGAAAATAGCTATAGAAGCTTTTCTGCCAACCCCTAATATATGTAGTTGGCTTCATTTATCATCGCAGTATCAAAAGCTTTTTTATGTGTAAACGTTTGTATATAACTACCTACGTGTACCTGATAGCACACGAAATTGGTTAGCTGAACTATATATTTTTCAGAACCCTTCTATCGTCGCCCCTTATGGTTTGTGAACTTGCCGAGCTGTCGTCGGAGTTCTCATCAATCTCCACTGGTTACGATGATGCGTGGAAGAATCACACGAACCTGCCGTTCAAGCTCATTATAGAAGTGGAAGGTGTGGACGGCGGAGTGGAGATGAACAACCTGAGGAGATAAGGTGATTGTCTCTGGGTTTTTTTTAGGCAAGTTTTTCTGTATGAGGCGTGAGCATTCCGTGACGGAAATCTCTGTTTCCAGGACCAGCACGAATCGTTATCCGAACGGGTAATCTCGAAGGCCGACAAATTCGGATCAGCTTGTGATTCTCTGCAGGAGAGGGAGCTTTGTCAAGAAAAGGATTGAATACTACGATGAAGCATTACAACAAGCACATATTCCATTGAACTTTCTTTTTAAAATCGCGTCTTTCAGTCCTTGAGACACATGTGCCACTAACCTTAACCACCCTCACCGCCCAATCTGACAAGGTTCCGTAATGCTAACAGCAGCTGCTCGCCGACTTCCGTTCAGAAATTACCTCCTTTCGAAATGCTATGAACGTGGGGAATCAGGTACTATTACCTAAGTAACACTTAATGAAATTTCACGGAAAATTCTCGAAAGAAGCTGTTAGCACTGAACTATTGAACAAGTGAAAATTACGTCAGTAGTCCAGTACAGGTCCTGTCCAATACTTACTGTGTTAGCATCTGACACGCATCCATCTTGACCGTCAAGAGGGAAGAACCATGGGAGTGTATGAATTAACTATGGCTGTACGTTTCGCGGACATAGATATTTCCTATAATTCTTGAGGCGCGCATTGGAAGATATTCCTTTATTCAAAAAACAGAATTTACCGTAATGGAGATCATGGGTTATCAACCTGAGCCTCACGGGCGGGACGTTCCAGGTGAATATGAACCAAATTTCACCTACTCGTAATTCATGTGCTGTGGTGATGTGGGTAATTTCCAGTGTGGCAAAGGAATTGCTTCCTGACACTTTCCCTCTCTCCAAAGTTATGAAGAGCTCAAAACCTTCTTCCCTGCACCAACGGATTCCGTTCATTCACCTTTTTTTCGGCATAGGGAATTAGAGCTTAGTCCTCGCCACCTATTCCACAAACATCGCTTTGATATAAAGAACATTCGCCAATCTGAGTATGCTGCAACGATTAGAGGTGCCCTAACACACACACCGTGGAATATGTACCAGGAGGGACATGAAATTCTCTCGCCCGGTGTCTGCCGGAGAAAATTTATCTATCGCTGATTGTTGTCTTCTGGTTCTGAGCCCTCAATGCCTTGCACAAATTAACCTGATAGCGGTTGATATCATATTCTGGTGGACGCGGGAGTAGGTTGCACAGAAGGGGAACATTTGAGGTTGGGTCATGTTCCTTGTAAAATTTTGCCCAAATTTGCTTCTAACACGTGACACAAACGTGAAAATGCAGACAATACACTTAATATGACAGAAATGGGGGGGGGGGCGTTTCCGTGTGCTTCATCTGAACACTGCAAACGATTCTTTTTCGTGGATTGGCCCATTTGGGACATTGTCATTTTGCCTTGTGCTGGGAAAAGGCATGGTTACAGTTGTCCCTACACGAAAATACTCGCCAGAATCGCAGTCGCTACTATGTTCAGATGACGCACGCAGCCACGCCCTCTCCATCCTCGGGATATGGGGTGACATTGTACCAGAACCCAAAAAGTTTTCAGTTGTGAACATTGCTCAGAGTTCCTGTGTCTTTTCATTTCTCGCCTTGAACCCGATAACCAAATCAAAGAATGCTATTTTCAGGTTCCATGAGCACTATCGAATTCCCACTCCACCGGGACCAGTTACGTTACCAGTTGAACCGCCACAATGCGTGAGACGTCGTGTGGAGACCCATTCAACACCTACCCAGACTTCCATCACTCCAAGAACTAATCAAAGTCTTGGAAGTCGTGTCTACAAAGCTATCGCTGCATCGACGGCGGCGAAACTCGTTCTCGTACTATCGCTGTTGGCAGCTTTGGCTGCTTTGATATATGCCGGAGTGTTCGGTGCAACATTCGGACCACATCTTATTTATGTTGAATGGACCACCACCAACTTAAGAAAGATCTGAATGTTTTTTGTGTGTTTTCTGCATGTTATTCTGTGTAGGCAGAGATTTAAGTCGATCTGTTGTCACGCGGCCAGACAATGAGCCAACCTAGTTGGCGGTCGGCGAGTCGGTAGCGCACGGATCTAATCTGAATGCATTGCCGGCTAAGATCTTTTAAATGTTAATTGCGGCAAATGTTATCGCTCGGGTAGGCTCCTTTTTTGTAGACAATGATTTTTTATAGTTTAGTTTTGTTATTACACATTTGACACACCACAAATCTCCTATTATAATCAGGTACACTGAAAGTGCGTAGTTATTTTACTTGCATGTTTTTCTTCGTTGTGGATTGCCCACTGCCCTTTGAACTGTTTGCACTTGTCGTTTTTGAAATAAGCTGCCTTCACCATCGTTCAGTCCTCCTTTTCACGTGCGCGGCACTGTTCTCACGCTTTTTTTTGTTTATATGAGATTTTTTTCCAGATATTTTTGTATATATTGGACTCACATTGTCATGACTCTCATTTTCTTACATGTATTGTTGAGGTTATATTTTAAATAAAATCATTAGCGTACTAGCAGTGTTTGAAGGAGTTTTGACAGCCTAATAAATATTTCGAAAGGCAACTTGAAGGACTCGCTTGTGGCTAGAGTGGACTTAAGCTGTGATGATTATGAGTAGTTCTCTGCATTGAAGACAGTCCGAGAGCTAAGTTTTTACAGGGTAATAGGTCGGCTCAGTTCGTGACCAGTGCTTAAAGACACATAGTACGCTCATACACATTGAGGGTGTATGAGACTATCAGCCCCCCAGATGTCGATGTGTCGTGGTCCCCCCCCAAACATGCCCGGGAATGGAGATACAGGGCCGTGAAACACGCTAATTCTTCCATGCTCCGCCCACTGCCTTTTTACGGCGCAGATTCCCGCCGTTGATAACATCCGTTGCAAGCGCGCCTGTCGCGTGCGGCTCCTTGGCACTTTTGCCAAGTCTTTAATTGCGCTCTCGAATACAAGTAAAACGCAATTTCCTGATGCGGATAACATTGGAGGTGCTACAAAATAAGAGCAGAAGATGATGACGAGGGTCAGAACCTAAAAGCGACTGTGCCACTTCTGCAACATCCCTCGGAGGCCACGTATTTCCACGAAACATGAAAATAAAAACTAAAAACGGCATACTCGTTAGTTTAATACAAGCAATTTCCTGATGCGAATAAAATTTAAGGTGTTGCTCATGCTTCAAAATCCATGTACAAGGAGATGAAGATGACACAGGCTAGAAATGAAGCACAACGATGTAAATGTGAAACAAAAAACAAAAATGAAAAAATCAAGGAAAGGCAAATTAGATAAACTGGCCTGTAAATTTCTACGATCCGGCGCCAAAGCCATAGAAATACTTAGAACAAACGAGTGGGACGCTTGGGCTGTTTTTATTTTCATGTTTTGTGGGAATGCGCGGCCCTTGATGGATACTGCAGATGCAGCCGAGTTGCTCTTGAGTTCTGCCCTTGTCATCATCTTCTGCTCTTATTTTGTAGCACCTCCAATGTTATCCGCATCAGGAAATTGCGTTTTTACTCGTATTTGAGAGCGCAATTAAAGGACTTGGCAAAGTGCCAAGGAGCCGCACGCGACAGGCGCGCTTGCAACGGATGTTATGAACGGCGGGAATCTGCGCCGTAAAAAGGCAGTGGGCGGAGCATGGAAGAATTAGCGTGTTTCACGGCCCTGTATCTCCATTCCTGGGCATGTTTGGGCGGGGGGACCACGACACATCGACATCTGGGGGGCTGATAGTCTCATACACCCTCAATGTGTATGAGCGTACTATGTGTCTTTAAGTAACTCCCGGCAGTAGAGAAAGAGGCGAAAAAACCTTGGGATCACTTGAATAAAGTCCAGCTTTCCTCCTCATCAAACCTCTGCATTCTCATGAACATTATCAGTCTTAATTTATTGAGGGCTGTAAGTAGGTTGTTTAGGTGTAGGAGCATATTTCAATAAAACTTTTGCTCAGGCCTACAACCTGTTGCGGCTCAATTAATAAGTAGCTCTGACTGATATTCGCTTTAGGCGGCCTGGATGAGTTTTCAGATGTTGACAAGCCAATCGCAGCGATTCGACGGGCAACCAATTCTCGGCCAAGATGCACTGAATTCGTCTACCCTCTCCAGGCACGGCTATGTACACCGCGCGAATTCAGCTTGTAGCGTTTGTTTGCAGAGTTCAAGTTATTTGGTTGCAATAGTTGCAGTGCTCACCGCGTCTCTTAGCTATGCTTTATCTGCCCTTTTGAGTGACGAAAGTGCGGTTCATTTTCTGGGGCGAATAGCGGGCACGAAGTGCCAAATGCACGAGGAAATTTTTCAACGGGTCCTTGCTCGCGGGAACCGTCTTTAACTTTTCGAGAGGACTAGCTAGGAGATGAGTGACGTATATAATGTGGGCAACTTCAAGTCGGCGTATAACGCGTTTTCCAGTATGCAGACAATAAATCACCTTAGAAAGGTTTCTCCGAGGTGTTAGGACTTAGGTTCGATGCAGTATCCATTGCTTTCCCAGAAAAGTTACATCCCTGAAGAAAACTGGATTGAAAGGGCGAAACATTTGCCCTCTACAGGAGCATTGAATTTTATGAATTTGTTTGAAATTGCTTTTGCTTTCTTAGAATGCTTATTTAGCTAATCTGTCGCTTTGACGAGACCTCCTGAATTCATGACGTCGAGTTTAAATCCTTCGTGTTCCGGTGTTGGTCTCAGAAATCCCTCTTTGTGGTTACGTGCACGCTAACGCAACATACCTAGTTGGTTGTCTGAGTATACTGTAGCACTGACTTGTTAAACCAATTAGTGCGCTGGGAGATCAAACCCCGGCTCAGCTCCCGCCCAAAAAACCAAGTTTTCTTGCCTCTCAGCAGCCAGCCCAACCAGGCCCGAAGACCCGCAGTACCTAATCTGTCTGGAAAAAACAGAGACGCTTACATGTGCTGTAGTGAAATTTTTATAAAGGTTATCTTTTTTAGAGAGATATTCAGCAATGGGGGTTTTAGTGGGTTTTTGCGAGTGGGTGCAAGCTCTTGGTTTAGATGGAGATTAATCTTCTCCAGCCCAAGCCGTTGCAAAGGTAATAGCAGCGCTCGTGATAAGAAGATCTCTTTTTCCACGAACTATTTATATTGTTTTTTGAAGATTTCTTGGGATTCATCGGGATAAAGGTGTTTGGCATTATCCGATAGTGACGCATGCTCCGAGCTGCATGAGAAACCCGTTTTAATATGATACCGTTCGCACAGTGGGACTTGAATACCGCAAAGAATGAATCTAGACGGATCCTTTCGTGGAATAGTATTAGGTTGTCCGGAAAGTTCTTTAGCGTTTTTGTGGCACACTAATCTTTGTACGCATTCACCTGCTGATTTGAAAAAAAACCCTTTCCAATTTTTTGCTTGGCCGCCTTTGCTTCTCAGTAGCACATCCTGTAGAGAATTTCTTGCGCTATCTGATGGTATAATTGCCGTTTCACCATTGCTTGATAAACCCTCTTTTTTCAAGATTTTTTCAAGCATGTGAAAAGAGCACTTCGGACGATTTTTTTCTTCGACTATAAATTGGGGCAATCCGCAATCGAAACAGCTCAACAAATTAACCAGGTGTGGGGGCCCAATAGTGCTAAAGAAAGCACTGTGCGGCAATGGCTCAATAAATTTCGCTCTGGAGATTTCAGCCTTGAAGGTGAGCCTCATAGCGGTCGACCTAAAGCAATATCTGACGAGGATTTTAGGGGGATTTTGAAGGTTGACCCATCCCAGTTCGAACGAGATAGCAGAAGAGCTAGGCCTTGGCAAATCCACTGTTGCAGATGGTCTGGAACGCATTGGGAAGGTGAAAACTCGACAATTGGGTGCCCCACAATCGGAGTGACCGGCAGGAATCGGCACGTCTCGAGGTTCCTTCTTCACTGCTTTTGCGCAAAAGAATTGACCCGTTTTTGAACGGATTTGTCACCTGTGATGAAAAATGGATCATGTATGATAACAGGAGACGTTCCGGACAGTGGTTGGATTTGGAGGAACCACCGAGGTAATTTTCAAAGCCGAACCCTCGCGAAAAAAAATTCTGGTCAGGTTTGGTGGTCATCGGCTGTTGTAATCCACTATAACTTTTCATCACCAGGCCAAACCATCACAGCAGAACCCTACTGTGAACAAACCGACCAAATGTACCGAAAATATTGTCAGCTGCAGCCAACACTTATCAAAAGAAAGGGTCCGATTCTTTTGCATGACAACGCCCGCCCACACGTTTCACAAATCACTATCCATAAATTGAACGAATTGGGAGTTGAAGTTCTACCTCACCCACCATATTCTCTAGACCTTTCACCAACCGACTGTCACCTTTTCAGACATTTTCAGAACTTCCTTGCTCTGAAAAATACTTCATCAATTAAGACACCAGCGCAACAAGACGCACGCAGATTTACGTGGATTCTGCGACACCAGGCGCGGGATGTCCAGTTCAGTTTTTTCTTTGATGGGATTTCTCGACTGCTGCCACATTGGCAAAAGTGTGCTGATTCGAATGGTGCTTATTTGGATTAAATCCGATGAGTGTTAAGAAAGTTATGATCGTTTAAAGTTAAACACCCAAAACGCTAAGAACTTTCCGGACAACCTAATAGAAGGGCTTGGTTGCCCAGCGCCACTAGCTTCACTTCTGGATGGGCCATGCATTACGCTCCCACGCAGAGGTAGTCTGATGACGCAACTTCCACGTAATGCCTGTCTACGCGAGCA